TTTTTTTACAAAGCTCTCCAAAATGAATTTACTATCCCTATCTTCAAAAAGTAAAGCCATAAAATATCAACCCAGACTCCACAGGCTATGCCTTCTTTTTCCCTTCCCACCCAGCCTGTGTGTTCTGATGGCAGAGCAGCTGTGTTGTGTTTACAGCAGACAAATAGATGTTCATGGGAGAGAGTACAAAACCCACTTATTTTAATTTTCCTGTGGTATGTATGTACGGGTGTGATTGTATTTTACAAGCACACACTCCTTGCTGGCTTCTGAAGTCTTTTTACAAGTGCTAGCTGTGCAGATACAGATTCTCACCTTGCATAGGTAGCACAGAATGCAACCTGGGAAGGATGTCCCATGAATGGCTCAATTTGGGACCAATTTACATCTAAGTGTTGCTGCCAGATGTCCACTAATCTAAATGAAACATAAAAAAGGCACTCCTGAAAATGTTAACTATTGTACTGAATGAACTTCTATAAAGTATTTTTGAAAAACAGTTGTAGCCAAGGTAGGATAATCCTTGGAGACATTGTGCAGGCTTCCTGGAATACACAAATGTCATTCAACCCCATTTCATGAAATATAAGCTATCCAAGTGTTGCTGAAAATTTACCATTTGTCATGTTTTAAGGGGCATTGCTTCACGAGCATGATTACTTTCCAGAATAGCAGGGCTTTTTTTCTCATAGAATGCCCAGAACAGAGTTCCATCACCTTTTTGGGAGAGTAGGCAAGGCAGGTTGTATGACATGTGTGAGTTCCGGCACCGTTTTGTTTTTTTTTTTAGAAAAAAAGCACTGCAGAATAGTATTAGTAAATGCCAAGATGTATAGCAGCTACCTTTTCCTGTTCAATCAAAAGCATGCTGTGAAACAAAAAGATTAATTTAATTAATCAATTAGAAACTAATTAAAGATTAGTAGCTAAGTTTAGTTGGATCTTAAGAAAGGCCCAATTTCCTCTACAAACCACTGACCTCTTATTCCTGCTGGCAATCTTATTGTGCTTTACTTGTACCTCAGGAGGATGAATCGTTCCATATGTTCTTCTGCATAGAAGAACAGATGACTTCAGAAGTGTAAAAATAAAAAAGTGATTGTGAAGACCTCCATTAAAATCTCTTTCAAATAGGAAAATGGTGAACTAATTAGCATATACAGTGTAAAATGGGGCAAAAATACTTTACTTCATATATATATTAATGAGCTGAGCTATCTGGAAAAAGATCTTGAGGTTATACGGTAGTAAATAGCCCAACCAAGATGTCTATTCTGTGTGCCACAGCAGTAAAAATATAAATTCCATGACAGGGAGCACATGGAAAAAGACTGAAAATAAAGCTACCAACACTGTAATGCACTTAAACAAATCTAAGATGCATCTAGAGCTGTAGTTGCTCCATCTGGGAAAAAAATTGTAACAGAACAGGAAAAATTATAGAATATACCCAAGATATGGTTTGAACACCTTTGGATTGCTTAATGAAAGTGATTGGAAGTTCATTTAGAAGAAACAAAATGAAGTATTTCTTGACACGCTGGATAATTAATTTACAAAACTGATCATGACAAGATAAGGGGATGGGATCTATTCATGGAAGGTAGATCTATCAAGGTTTTTCAACCTCAAAGCCTCAGTGCTACTTCTGGGCTACGAGGAGCATGTCTTCAAAATATCAGTTGCAAAAGACCAACAGCAGGAAAATATCTTTTATTAGAACATTGGGTGGACTGAATCACTGGAAGAAAAAAAAAATCCCACTTGTCTAATCTACTAATGTTATCCTTAAAATATTAAAGGGTGAAATTGACAAAGAAGCTTCACCTTCCAGACTTGATCGAGGAGATGGGAAAAGAATGGTTTCAGACTTGATTTAGTTCCTTGCTTGTGCTGTATATAAGGCAATTTCTTCTGATATAGGAGTGTGATCTCTTCAGATCAAATCTCCATAATAGAGAACAAACAGATAACATTTGTCTAGCCTTCAGGTTCTGTAGAAAAGCATCAAATGTTCCCTGTTGGCAAATCCACTACAAACTAAAAAAAATCAATGAACAGTTAAGTAGAGTTATCTATATGAAACACTTCCAGATAAGGCTTTAATGCCCAATTGTCCTTTCTTATTCATTATTTCACACTCTTTCTCCCAGTCTTTTTTCTTACCATAAAAAAATCCTTAAAGTATTACTCGGGGCCTTTTATTGGAAAGCAATTTTATGGTCTTTCAAATTCCCACTGCATATAATCTCACAGATCAATGATATCTTTTATGTTTTACCAGTTGTCTCCAGAGTGAAACTTATGTATTTAGGAACCTCAATAATTTTTTTTCTCTTTCAGTTGACTCGTTATAGTCTGGAATCCATTTTAAACAGTGATACCCCGAACTAGACAAATGTACAGTAAAGCAACTGCTATCCATTCGTTTTTGGAATCTTTACAGTTCACTTAAAATGCAGTCTGTATTTTTTATAAAAATCTAGCTATTTAAAATGCAGTCTTGTTTTTCATTAAAAATGAAGCTCTAAGGATCTGAATCTAAGGATTTGAGAAGATCCTTGTTTTATGCATTTTGACTAGAGATGGGAAAAACTCAAATGATTTGGGGACTGAATGTTGTAGAGAATTCTATTCCCCATCTAGGCCATGCCAAACCTTCTCTAGTCTAGAGTAGACCATACCATTCCAGGGGGGACACTTTGAATCACATCTGGTTTGGAGAACTACTGCTCTTTGGAATGGCTCAGGCATGGCTTGGAGAAGAAACAGAATGTTCTTGTGTTTTCCAGAACATTTCATTTCCAAATTAACAAGTTTTGTCCATATTATTTATTATTTATTTACTACTTAGACTTACATGCTTCCAGAATCCAAAGATTTATCCAATCATTTTTCCAATCTCCAATCTGCCAAATCAAGTCTCCTTTTAAAAGCAAAGCATACAGTACATCTATCAGCAGCATGGATCTACTGCACTGGGTAGATTACAAATGGCTAAAACAATGTGTTTGCTCTGAGCTGAGTATCTTGTATTCATATTGATATTATGAGAGAGTTCTAGAGAGAACTGAGGCACTGGAGTCCAATGACAGAAATAAAAAATAAATTTCTAAGTGATTCTTATACAATCCAATTCAAGAAGTATTTATCTTCAGTTTTCAGGACTTAAATTATAACCATTTTTTTTACTTATCTGGTCTTGTATCTTGTAGCCCAGGGGTCCTCAACCTTGGCAACTTTAAGATTTGTGGACTTCAACTCCCAGAATTCTTCAGCCAGCAAAGCTGGCTGAGGAATTCTGGGAGTTGAAGTCCACAAGTCTTAAAATTACCAAGGTTGAGGACCCCTGCAAGTGTAGATCTAACTAATTACCTGTCCTACACCAAGAATATTTTATTCTGCAGACATTATGTATGTTGGCATGGTTATATGCTCTGTCTTCCTTTTCAAGGTTATTTAAGTGTGTTTTGTCTCCCTTAAATGTGTATTCAGTTTTATAGTTTGTGTGCGCGCTTTACTTGACACAAAGAAATAAAAGTGGGGAAATGATTTGCATTGAAACTGAAATGATGGAATATTGGAAGGCACATTTTAGAGATTTCAATAGAAATGACAGTGATAATTTGAAGAATTGAATTGAAAGAAATGCTGATCAATGTCTGTGGTCCAAGAGAGAAAAAAAGTTGAGAACATAAATGTGGCAATATTAAAAAATGAAAAAGCTGCAGGTACTGATGGCATAACTGATGAAAAGTTGAAGTATGGATGTTAGTTTGCTTTTAATGTGAGAGTGTGTGTGTGTGTGTGTGAAGAGTGTATCTGTGCCCGATGTCTGAAACGCGAAGGCAGCAGCATGTAAGCAAAAACTATGCAGAGAATGGTTTAAGTATGCCTAGAAGGGTGTTCGGCAGAATACTGATTAAGAGGGGAAAAAAGAAGTAATACTGAGCAAAATTTGGGAAGTGCGTTGTGGCTTTATAGCGAGCGCTGGATGTATGGGTTGAATTTTTGCCCTTCAGAAGATAATTGAAAGAATAGATGAAAGTAAGTGATAGTGGTGATGATATAAACTGTCAGCACTGAAAGAAGCAAAAATAGATGTGTCTATGGAGATTCTCAGTCATCCAGGTCATAGTTATCCTAAAGGTGCTTTTTCACAAGGCAACTAGACTTTGTTTTTCTTTGAAGACATTTTGCTTCTTATCCAAGAAGCTTCTTCAGGCTCTGACTGGATGGTGGGGAATGGAAGCATTTAATCCCCACCATAAATCCTTCCATTCCCCACCATCCAATCAGAGCTGAAGAAACTTCTTGGATGAGAAGCAAAATGTCTTAAAAAAAAAAGAGAAAGTCCAGTTGCCATATGAAAAAGCACCTTTGGGACAAAAATAGATGCATATTAGAATGTGTTATATACAACCGAATGCTGGGTCAAGACAAGTCTAAACATAAGTGAATGCAGCGAGAATGGGGATCTTAGAAGTACGTATATTCAAACAGGAAGTTGTCCCCTCTACAATCATTGCATCTGTTGGTGTTGCAGTTTGGGCACAGATTCCTCATTTGGTAACATCAAGGAAGAAAGTCCAGTTGGCTGGGCAAGCTGGAAGAGGAAAAAGGACTTCTGGCTGATGCCAAATTTAAAAAACACCCTTGGATGTATCAATGTGATTGGATAAAGGATCGAAAAGCATGGTGAGATGTAAAGCATGGTGTTTGCATAAATCAGGTTTAACTATATTTTCTTTATTTTTTTTCTTATTCTCTTGCATTTCTCTGTTTTCTTATCATTTTTTTTGCCTCATAGCACTTTAAGACAAACAGATATTACGTACAAAACAATATGAAAGTGAGAATAGAGCACAGCACGCCGGCATCTGCAAGCTGTTTCAGCAACCCCGGAGATTTCATGCTACTCCAACAGAAAAGGGCTCTCAACCAATCCAGAAAGGCTTCTCTATAGCCAATCCAAAACTCTTTTACACTGTTGTCTGAGGAAAAGGAAGAGCATAGCGGGCAACGCTTCTATGCTGCGTCCCAATTCTGCTTGAAGAGTCTTTGAGCAGGGATGTGTGTGCCTTTAGGCAAAGCTGAACGACTAGGAGCCGATCTAGTCACAAAAAAAAAGAAGAAACCAAATGCAAATAAGCCTCTTCTCCTTGGCTTTCCTGCTGCCCGCTTGAAGGCTTCTTTTCTCATGTAATGCACTCGCTCACCCAAGAAATCAAATCCTTCTCCAGGACTAATTTGAAAAAGCAATGTACCAGAGTCACAACTTTATCTGGGAAGAGACTTATCGAGACCTGGAGGGATGCCCAGATGCAAGTGGTGGAAGTGGCTGATTGTAAGGAGGGGGACGCCTGTGGCTACGTGCAGGACCTCAGCCTGGACCTTCAGATTGGGGTGATTAAGTCGTGGCTATTGCTGGGTATGTAGTTTTTAGCCAAAGCAGCATTAATAACTAAGCATACCTGTGTGCACTGGAAAACTATGGGTGTGTAATTATGGCTGTGCATGGTAGATATAATAATAATAATAATAATAATAATAATAATAATAATAATAATAATAATAATAAAGTTGGAAGGGACCTTGGAGGTCATCTAGTCCAACCCCCTGCTCAGGCAGGAAACCCTATGCCATTTCAGACAATAGAGATTATATGACTTGGCATCAGATTTTTGTTGTTTTCAATGTGCTTAGTTTTATAGTTTTATTAAGGTTTTCAGGTTCTTGTTCTTAACTGGGAGCCACCCAGAGTTGGTTAGAGATGGGTAGCAATTGCTTTCAGATCATAATAGTAATAGTGTACAATATAATAATAATGCAGTAATTCTATGATTGCATTGCTTTCAAGACATAAGATTAGCTCCAGTAATAAAATATGCAGATCTTCAATTGGTAATAACTGGCACAGCTGTCCCAAAGGCGTTTTTTTTTTTCCCCACGAGGCAACTGGACTTTGTTTTTCTTTGAAGATGTTTTGCTTCTCATTTGAAGAAGCTTCTTGGATGAGAAGGGAAATGTCTTCAAAGAAAAACAAGAAAGTCAAGTTGTCTCGTGAAAAAAAAAAAAAGCGCCTTTGGGACCATGACCTGGATGACTGAGAATCTTCATAGACAACTGGCATAGCTAATTCATTCTGCATCCATTCTATAAAAGGGTTTTTTTTTCCTCTTGGCTGCACCCATGTCTTGTATACATGTAGAATGTACATATATGTACTACCTATACATGCATGTGTGTAAGAATAATTTACTTAATTTCATCAGAATGATATATGGTATTCGGTTGTTTTGTATGCATGTAATTATTTCCCAAAATTTACGGGATAACATCTCTCTTTCACAGGTTCCCAGGATGCTGCTCATGACTTGGAGACAATGAAAAAATATAAGGTAACATGCTTTAAAAAAAAAAAAGCTGTCACAACTTATGGTTAACATTAGTACAGTTGTGGAGCTCTGGTAATAGAAAATTGGCTACATTTGAGTAAACCTTTGGGGGGTTTTTTTGCCCTTAGCGTCTCACAAAGCCCCAAGTTCTTGCAGAACTTTAGAGTTTTATGGACATAGTTTCAGAAATTCTGGCTTACTGGTTTGGTATTGAAATATACTTAATCACATCCTTGTGATTGATTTCATACAGAAAATTATTGTGTGTTTGCCATTCAGAATATGAAGATTATAAAAGCAAGTGTATTCTGAATGTGACAGTAATGTAACTGGTGGGCTGCAGACAATAATATGTTGGCTTGCAAGATAGTCTGATTACAGATCCCAGCTTACTCAGGGTAGCATGAGCATGCTTAAGATAAAATTGGCTATTGGCTATAGGCAATATGTCAATCTATTGTTTTCTTACTGTTGACAAGGAATCTTGCCTATGTGTGAGCTAAGAATGGTAACCAAATCTATATCTTATTTATGTTACTGAAATATGTTATGTGAAAGCCTCAGTTGAACAAAGCCACGATGAGTGAATATTGATGACTCCCATTGGTAATCATCATAATATGCAAAGATTGTGACTTGGAATGTAAGAGGAGAAATGATCATGAACTAATGAATGAAATGAAGTAGAAAAATGTATTTGTCAATCTAAGACAGGGGTCCTCAAACTTGGCCACTTTAAGACTTGTGGACTTCAACTCCCAGAATTCCCCAGCCAGCATGGGAGTTGAAGTCCACAAGTCTTAAAGTGGCCAAGTTTGAGGATCCCTGATCTAAGAGAAAGAGTAAGGATTTAACAGATCTGAATGAAGATGCCACTCTGATCTTGTGATTGAATTAATGGAATTCCTTTGAAAAATACTATCTTTATTGTATGTTTTTTCTGTTTTAGGTTACCCATGTTCTAAATGTAGCTTATGGTGTCGAAAATGCCTTCCCCAATGACTTTACATATAAAACGATCCCTATTCTTGACCTGCCTGAGACTGACATCACCTCTTGTTTCCCTGAATGTTTTGAATTTATTGAACAAATCAAGTTAAAGGTAAATAGTTGTAGTTGTTATTGCAAGGAGTGGTGAATGGCCGTGTGTGTTTGTGTGTTAATTAAATTCATCCATTTTTTGCATTATTAGTTAGGAGAAGACAGATTCATACTAAAATCACTTAAGGCATCTTGAGGCTGAAACTACCTATTTATTCCCATCCTTATTTGAATGAAAGTTTAAACTTAAATAAATTAATGTAAACCACGTGCTATACTGTATGTATGCACATATATACACTCTATATCTCCCTGGCAGGGAGATGATCTTTTTAAACAATTGTCTCCAATCAAGATAATCATTTCAGTGTAAAGCTTAATAATGTATGATAGATCCAAAAGATGTGGAGTGTGATTGTGTACTGGAAATCTACATCAAATTAGGCCCCTTGAAGTGCTTTTAATTCTGTACTGAACTGTGGCACTGAACTGAGTAGGAAACATTTAGATTTCATACACATGACTAGGATTTTATCTTGCATGTATAACCTGTCAAAATAAATTAGAAAAAAATATTTTATAAAGATACAGTGCTTCTGTACCTGTTTCCTTGTATAAGTAATCCGATATCTTTTTCATATAACTTCATTTGATGCTACAATCTGTTAGTATCTTCACTTTTTCAAACCTGGTTCCAAGTGCTTCTGAGTTTCATTGTTTACACATGTTCATTGTTTACACAGTTTGAAAGAAAGGAAGATAACTTTGCTCCATTACCTTTTGTCTTATTTTAGAAAAAGGAATGTGGTGTATTATTAACAAGTTACCTGAAACGTGTCTTCATTTCATGCTCTCCTGAAGGTTTCCAGTTACCGTTTCCACTTCATTTCTAAATTAGATTGGCCATTCTAAGATCCTGGTGTTACTGTTCTGCCTCAGAAGTTTTAATTTTCCAGTTAGCTTTGTATACACAAGATTGCTCTTACAATCTTTCCTGATATTTTTGGTGCTTCATAATACAACATTTCTTTATTGCATAAACAAAGCATTCAATATTTTATTGAAGGTGCCCTGCCAGGCAAAGCAGGAAAATAGAATAAAGTATGAGATTACAAATTGCTTCATTAAAGCAAACAAACCTGCAATAGAATACATTTTCTATATTTCCAGGCATGAAGTAGGCTGTAGAGATCAAAATTCTCAATTATAGAAGTTTACAACTACCAAATTATCTTTTTGTACAGTGTTGTTGCTGCACATAGCTATATCAATTTGAGGGGTAGGGTCACAAAAACTGCATTATGTAATTTTAATGATAACTGTAATTCTTAGATCTTTAACTTAGTTATCTATCTTAAATGAATTCTAATCCTATTTTACCCCCATGCTTATATTCTCAAATCCCTATTTACTTCTAATCTACACCAGAAAAAAACAGAATTACCCATTCTGATTTCAAATTACATAGTTTTTGTTACATTCACCAAGCGTACATTTAAATTTTCTGGTTGATTTTGTTGAAACATGCCATCCTAATAAAATGGATCTTTGGTAACTGGTTAGGCCCACCATGGCAGATCAGACCATCATCAGAAATATATACAGTAGACCCTTAAATGTGCTTGCTGGCATAAACAGATGCTTTGTCTGTCATAACACAGCCATACCATCAATCTCCAGCTGAATCTTACATTTCTGTTGATGTGCTGAAAACCATGAAATGTTTGCTGCTAAGGGTGAGAAAAATAAACAGTAGAAAATCCTGATTATCTATTTAGAAAGAGAAGCATTGATTTTTCATTACCTTTTAGCCATCTATGAGTACTTCAGAAAGGGAGAGCATTGACTAAATACTGAGGAGGGAAAGATTGAGCCTAGCAAAATCTACACAGTCCACAGGGATTCTAGTCGAAATGTAAGTATGAAAAAAAAGTATGCATATACTAAAATTATACTTCTGATGACTTTGTAGAAAGTTTGCTTAAAATGCCTTTGTAGTAAAATAAAATATTGATTGCTCCATTTTTATGGAAATTGAAAGCTTAAAGGTGTCTTTCCTTTCTTTTTCAAAGGGTGGTGTTGTGCTTGTTCACTGTAATGCAGGAGTTTCCCGGGCAGCAGCAATTATCATAGGGTTCCTAATGTACTCAGAAGGACTCAATTTTGCCATGGCTTTTTCTGTGGTGAAAAATGCAAGGCCTGCTATTTGTCCAAATTCTGGCTTCATGGAGCAGCTCCAGAAATACCGTCAATTCAATTGTTAAAAATGGAAATTTAAGTGTCTAGGGGAATGAAGAAGAATGAATTTTATGGTTGTATTGTAATAAGAGAAATGGACTTTATCACAATGTTAATAAAAGTTGCACATCATTACAGCTCTATATCTATCATTGAAACCCATCTTCGTTCTTACATGTAATGATGAATTAATCTCAGATGCATTTTGCTTTTTTAAAAATTTAATCTTAATATAACAATGTGGACTTAAGCTTCTTTGATTTAGCAATTGTCTATTACTTGCAACTATGTTTTACCAATTAAAAAAGTTTAAGATCACATAATCATATCAACTCACTGTTTGGTTCAATAATCATCGATACGTATGTTAGGCTTCATTGGGATCAGCTATTAGTCCAAGTGGGTCCTTGTAAAGCTGGTAGAAATCAGGTTCCAAAGTAGACCAAAGAGGCAGATGCAAGTCAAAATTCAGATAGATCAGAGTAAAAAAGCACAAATAATAATAATAATAATAATAATAATAATAATAATAATAGGAACTGCTTCCATCCTGCGACGATATCTGTAATACCATCAAACATCCACATCTGCCTCTCCCAGGTCCTGGGTAAGGACTTGATAGGTAGACAAAATGCCAAATCCAGTCTGAACATCTGGCTGACTGTGTGATGATCCATAATAATAAAGTTGGAAGGGACCTTGGAGGTCATCTAGTCCAACCCCCTGTTCAGGCAGGAAACCCTATACCATTTCAGACAAATGGCTGTCCAGTCTCTTCTTAAAAACTTCCAGTGTTGGAGCATTCACCACCTCTGGAGGCAGGTTGTTCCACTGGTTAATTGTTCTAACTGTCAGGAAGTTTCTCCTTAGTTCTAGGTTGCTTCTCTCCTTGATTAGTTTCCATCCGTTGCTTCTTGTCCTGCCTTCAGGTGCTTTGGAGAATAGCTTGACTCTCTTCTTTGTGGCAGCCCCTGAGATACTGGAACACAGCTATCATATCCCCCCTCGTCCTTCTCTTCATTAAACTAGACATACCCAATTCCAGCAGCCTTTCAGAGACAGGTCCCTTAGGACATGGATCATGTCTTTAATTTTGTTGGATTAAGACTGTCTATGATAGTTAGTTTTCAACGCTTAGGCAGGGTAAAGTTAAATCCACTTCAACCCCAAATTTCACTCCATTTGTATTGTGGCCAGTGCATTGATAACAAGGCATTTCAAGATAACTGCTAGTAGTCTAAATGCAAGTTCTTTTGCTTGGTGATATATTGTACTAGGTGCTCACATCTGGCATTCCAGACCTAAGAAATTGTTGGTCTTTGCATATTGCAGGGATAATGCCTCAAAAGAGGAAGAACAGCATCATTTTTCTTTCCTTCAGAAACACCCATACGCAGAACAGGGAAGGAGTTTTAAATCTAAGAACATGCATCACAAATGCTCACTTCTAGGATACTTAACTAAGATTTGTTGGGTATTTAAGAAGACCATTTTTTCCTTCCCTGAAATCCATTTTCCTTCATTTATAAATGGTACCCAATATTCCATATTTTAAATATTTCAGGGAAGCATTTGTCCTTTCCTCTTTGGCATTCATGGCAGCTTATACAATAACAATAAATATACCTAATGTCCAGATGTCAAAAACAAAATGAGTTGAAAAAATATGAGACAAAAAGTTTATATTAGACATTGAAGGATGTTCAGCAAAGGATGATCTTAAACAGAAAACTAAAAAATAATTCTTCTAAACTTTCAACATTTGTTTAGAATTTAAATCTTAGTAATCATATTCTCAGTGAAAATGTTCACTCCAGATATTTTACATCTGCATCTTGGTAACACCTTTCAATTATGGTAATAAAGGACTCTTATCAGTAATGCTAAGCTGCTTCAATTGTGGCTGAACATGAGACAAATCTCAACACCTTTGTTGAGCCATAATTAAAATGCACTTGTCATAATAAAGACTTCAACCAACCCCATAATATTAAATTTGGGGATAATGCTTTGATTATGCTGAAAAGTTAAGATTTTCACTTGCCTGACCCTTCCTACATCTACAATATATGAATCCTAGTACTAAATCATATTATAAGATGGATCTATCAGAATTCATGCAGACTCCAACTCCCATCTATTCTTAAGAATATAGGTTTGTTAATTTACATGAGTGCCTGAAAGATCATGAACTCTTCATGGTAATGTCACAAATCATATAGATCAGGGGCGTCAAACTCGCAACATCACATGACGTGTCGTGATGTATCACAACTTTTTTGCTATTGCCAGCAATGGGGCGGCGTGGTTTTGCTATGATGCATCCGGCCCGCGGGCCGGCAGTTTGACACCCATGGTATAGATATATCATTGTCATGACACAACTGACAATTATATAATATGCATCATTAATGAGCTGTCATGACCTGTGACACCAGTATTGTTTCTGTAAAGCACTGTAATTACTGCAAAATTATTCGTTTTTACCATCAGATCCTTCCCCAATATGGTATTGCATCATTGAAGGCACTTCTATGCAAAGACCTCTATAATTCCTGAGGTTTCAGAACTGAACCTTTTTAGCTCTCTCATACAGGATATTTGAAACTGCAGTTAAAATAGTATTTTTTTAAAAACATTGTGGCTTTGTGGAGCTTGTGGATGATTAGTGTTTTCTCTGCAGATATTCTCCCTGCACTTCCATTTCCTGAGCTTAAACCATCTTATAGTCTTTCAAGTGCAAAAGTCGGTCTGATATTGTGCAGCTGCAATCTTCATACAAATTCTGTTTCTTCTCTAGGACCAAATAGATGAGGGTTTCACATGCACTTCCATTCTCCAAATCCTTCAAAAACTCTATGAAAACAAGCCATGGTTACTTTAATGCCAACAATTTAGGATTAAGAGTAAGGAGCAAAGAACCACACAGCTGTAAGTCCAGGACACTCACACGTACCCTTTCCAAAGGGGAAATAGAGGAAATCCTACTGCTTTCCTCCACTTTTTTAAAAATGCCTGCAATTGTCTGATCTCACGAAATGAAACAATATTTCCTGTTATCCTAGGGCAGAAGGTATTGACGTTGTAATTTATGTTTTAAATAACTTGAATTCTTTATTTTTCTGCACGCGGAGTTTGAAAAAAAACAAGCTTTTATCCCTCCTTTCATCTTCTACAGCAGAGTCGCTGTCATTAAAAAATAAAAATAAAAATCGCTGCTTTCAAAAAGCTTTCAACTTCTAACCACCCACGAACAACGGCCACTCACTCACTCGCTCACTGAGCCAGAGCCAGGGCCGGAAATTGAGCCAGGCAATAAAACTCAGCCGAAAACGGCCTTCCGGTCTGCAATGTCTCATTTCTCCGCGCGTTCCCAGAAGGGAAACGACCATAGAGCCATAAACCTGGAGAGAGAGAGAGAGGCAGCCAGTCTCAACTTTATGGCCCCGTTCTTGGGAGGAAGTGGCGTCTGCCTTTCCCACCGCGGGCAAGAGCGGCCCTTCCGCCTTATTTGAAAGTGACGGGCTGAGGCAGGAGGGAGGCGGCTCCGGTGTGCACGCGGCCGGTCTTGGCAAGTGGCTGCCTTCGCTATGGAGCTGCAGCTCCCTTCCCCTTCTTTGGGTGAGCCTCTTCTCGGGTTAGGGCTCAATGAAACGAATTAATTAAATGACGTTAACCCTGTTTGATCCGCCAGACTTCGGAGGAAGGCGGGAAAGGGAGACCCGTTCGTTTGCTGGTCGTTTCCACTCTTTCTGCTCCTCCATTTGGGACCCAGTGACGGGGGTGGGGGTGGGATTCTAGAATGCCCTGAGGGGAGTCCCCGATTGTGACGTCACTTGTACTTAGGTCTGCATGGCGAAATCCCGGAAAGATTGCCAGGGCGTCCGAGGAGGGAAAGCAGGTCGTTTGTTTAGTGTTTGTTCGAGGAAGGGAAAAAGCCAATAGATCCCCACTGCGGGTTCAAGCGCGTTCAAAACACGGCCACGGGGCCGGGCCGGGAAGCTGTTTTTAGACCTGTCGGCTTAGGTAGGCTGTTAAAGAGCCAGGAATATCTCTTTGCTCTAATAAAAAGTTACTAGGGGGGGGAGGGGGAGGAAAACTTGATCTTATGTCTGCTATAAGCGTCCCTTGTTTGTTCGTAAGGAACGGTTGTTCTAGGACAGTGGTTCTCAACCTTTTTAATGCCGCGACCCCAACCGGTCGTAAGTCGAGGACTAAACCAGTTGTAAGTCGAGGACTAAACCGGTCGTAAGTCGAGGACTACCCAACCGGTCGTAAGTCGAGGACTTTCCCTGCCTGGGAGCACCGCGCATGCGTGGTTCCGCCCCCTGCGCTGGCCGAGGCGTAGCTGGCAAGCGGCAGAGACGGAGCAGGCCGACCACCAGTTGGCCCAGCCCAAGGGAAGTAAGGCACCCGCCGGAAAAGGGGAAAAAAATGGCGGACACAAAAAATGGCGGACAAAAAAAAATGGCGGACAAAAAAAATGGCGGACAGCCTTGCTTGGCGACCCCCGTGAAATGGTCGATTGACCCCAAATGGGGTCCTGACCCACAGGTTGAGAACCACTGTTCTAGGAATAAGAGTAACTTGGATTCAAATATTTGCGTTTGCAACCACCAGCGCCAGGAGTTTCCGACCACAGTTGAGCCCCACATTTGTTAAGCGAGGTTTGGCCCGTTTTACGACTTTTCTGACCACAGTTGTTAAGTCAGTCGTTGCAGTTAAGTTAGTAACACGGTTGTTAAGCGAATCTGTCTTCTGCAGCGCTCATAAATATGAACCCAGTGGCTGAGTGCCTTGAGTTTTGATCATGTGACCATGGGGATGCTGCACTGGTCGTAAGTGTGAAAAATGGTCATAAATCACTTTTTTTCAGTGCCGTTGTAACTTTTTTTTTTTTTATTGAAAAGTTTTATAAAAGTTACAATATAAACCCCAAAACCCACCCACCCTAAACCCCCCCTCTCCCTCCCCCACTTCCCAGAGCTGAATACAGGGTTACAAATATAATAATCATAATCTAACT